TTTCACGAAGTAAATTATATGATAATGAATATGAATAAATTACTATTTTTTTGTGTGAAACTGAAGCTTTTGAAAAATTTAAAGAATTATTAATTTGAGCCCAGCTTAACTGAGAACTTAAATTTTGAGTATTAACTAAATTTGAATTATTAAACAAGCTATTCACTCCCAACGATTTATAATGAATGTATGTTTTTTCATTTTGAATAAAAGTTCGAAGTTGATTATACGAAACAGTCCCACGTAATAACAAATCAACAGATTCTTGAACATTTTCATGAATAGTCCAAGAGTTTTGTTCGTTAATTTCAATAACAATTTGAAACGCAGGATAAGCTTTTCGTTCTAAAATACTTTTTTGAGTTTTACGCCGTTTTGCTTCTTCATCACTTAAAGTTACATATTGAATACCACCAATTAAATCTGTTAAAGGTGGGTTTTTAATAACATTTTCTAGACAATTACCATGTGTAGTTCCAACTAATTGAACACCTTTCTCTGCAATTGTTCTCGCAGCAAGTGCTTCTAATTCAGTTGCAATTTCATCAATAATAATAACTTGAGGCATATGATTTTCGACAGCTTCAATCATTACTTGATGTTGACAATTTGTTTGTGCAACTTGCATTCGACGCGCTCGTCCAATACCAGGATGAGGAATATCACTATCACCCGCAATTTCATTGGAAGTATCAACAATAATTACACGTTTGCCCATTTCATCAGATAAGACACGTGCGATTTCTCGAATAATTGTTGTTTTACCTACACCCGGTTTACCCAAAATTAAAATAGATTGTCCAGATTCTAATAAATCCCGAATTACTGAAATTGTACCAAAAATTGCGCGACCGACACGACAAGTTAAGCCTGTAATTAAAAATTGACGATTTCGAATACAACTGATTCGATGTAAGGTTCGTTCAATCCCAGCTCGATTTTCTGTACTAAATTTTCCAATTCTTTTTGTTGTATAATCTAAATCCTGCCATGAAATAAATTTTTGTGACAAATATTCGGGACCATGTGAAAATCTAACTTCAGGGCGTCGACCTAAATCCATAACAATTTCAATAATCTTATCTTTTGAAGTATGTTTTTCAATATGACTATTAAAAAATGATGGGAGAGTTTCTATTAATTTATCTAAATCTTCATCTACACTCATATAGTGAAACCTAAAATTATTTTTAATTATTATTATACTTGAGCTTCATTAAATTAAGAGTACCTGGTTATTAGCAAAAAATTAAAAATTAAAAAGTTTAATAAAAATTCATCATTAATAAAAATAATGATGAATTTTTTTAAGAAAAAGTTGATAAAAATTTACCAGAAGCCTAATGAAACAGCTTTATCAATTGGTAAACATGCACCAATACCAAACCAAACTGCAAAGAAGAATCCAAGAATGAATACTAAACTTGCAATTGGACGACGGAATGGATTTTGGAATTTATTTACATTTTCAATAAATGGTACAGTGATTAAACCTGCAGGTACTGCAGCCATAGCTAATACACCTAATAATTTATTTGGTAAAACACGTAATAAATTGAATGTTGGGAAGAAGTACCATTCTGGTAAAATTTCTAATGGTGTGTTAAATGGATCAGCTGGTTCACCCATTTGTGTTGGTGCCATTACACCTAAACCAATACAACATGCAAATGTACCTAAAATACAAATTGGGAATACATATAATAAATCATTTGGCCATGCTGGTTCACCATAATAGTTATGGCCCATACCTTTAGCTAATTTAGCACGTAATTTCGGATCTGATAAATCTGGTTTTTTAATTACTGACATAATTATTCCTTATTAAAATATTAATATTGTAGCTAATTTCGTTAAATCGAAATTAAAGTGGTCCTGAAATACCTTGTTTACGAATCATTAAGAAGTGCGTTAACATTAACACAGCTGCAGCCAATGGTAAAACAAAAGTATGTGCACTGTAGAAACGTGTTAAAGTACTTTGACCTACACTTTCACCACCACGTAATACTAATACTAAAGGCTCACCAACAACTGGTACTGCTGCAGGAACACCCGTTACAATTTTACAAGCCCAGAAACCAACTTGATCCCAAGGTAATGAATAACCGGTAACACCAAAAGATACAGTAACAACTGCTAAAATCACACCCGTAACCCATGTTAACTCACGTGGTTTTTTAAAACCACCAGTTAAATATACACGGAAAACGTGTAAAACCATCATCATTACCATCATACTTGCTGACCAACGGTGAACAGAACGGATTAACCAACCAAAGTTAACACTTGTCATAATGTATTCTACTGATGCAAAAGCATCAACTACACTTGGACGGTAATAGAACGTCATAGCAAAACCAGTTGCTACTTGAACTAAGAAACATGTGAAAACAATACCACCAAAACAGTAGAAAATGTTAACATGTGGCGGTACATATTTACTTGAAATATCATCTGCAATCGCTTGCACTTCTAAACGTTCTTCAAACCAATCGTAAACTTTACCCATGAGAAATTATTATAAAGAATAAAACACAGTTAAGCACAATTAAACATTTGTTATTAAAGGCGAGAGTGGGATTCGAACCCACGGAATCCGCAAAGATTCATCTGATTTCAAATCAGACGCAATCGACCAACTCTGCCATCTCGCCAAAAGATTAGTTTTAACACTAATCTTAAATAATTAACTTTCGTAAGTCGTTGTTCCACTAAATTTGATTGAAGCTGGGTTTGGATTTTTACCAATTGAAAAATCACGACTGTTAACAGATGTACGACCTGGGTTTACCTTTTCAGGGAAAACACCATCTTTTGGATGTAAATACTGTACTTCACCACTTGGGAAAATTCGATAAATTTTATAATCGTTGATTTTAAAAGTTCGTAATTGTGTCCCTAAAGCTAAACATTGTTCTTTTCGAGCTAAGTAAAGTAAGTTCTCACCATTACGCATAATGGCTGCACCACCAGTTGGCATTTCAAAAATTTGTTCTTTTTTACTTGTCCATGTAATAGCGTACTTTTCTTCAACCTCAGCTGCTCGTAACCAGCCACCAGTACTTCCACCGAAAGTTGGAAATGGTGTTTGTAAATTTAATGTCATAAGTAAAACCTTATTAATATTTAACGTTCAATATAATATTTTAATCAAAAAACTTTTTTTGTACGCTAAATTCGAAATTTTCTAGCGGAGAATGGATTTGAACCATTGACCTTCGGGTTATGAGCCCAACGAGCTACCAGACTGCTCTACTCCGCGAGTTTCTAACTTACGATCGTAATATTATTATACATGACTTTATGAAAAAAAACTAGTACATGTTAAAAAATCGTTTATTATTTTAACTTTATTATTTTTAATAAAGTTAAAATAAGAATATTTAATTAGATCTACCTGAATTAATACTATCTGTTAAAGACTGTAAAATTAATTTAATAGAACGTACAGCATCATCATTTCCTGGAATTGGAATATCTACTAAATCAGGATCACAATTAGTATCTAAAATGGAAATAATCGGAATTCCTAATTTACGACATTCACGCACAGCTGTCATTTCACGTTTTTGATCAACGATAATGGCAACATCTGGAACACGTGGCATATCTTTAATACCGTTTAAATGCTTACGTAATTTTTCTAATTCTTTACGACGTAAAGAAGCTTCTTTTTTTGGTAATAAGTTAAATACTTGATCTGCTTCTTCTTTTTCTAATGTTTTTAAACGCTCAATTCGACTTTTTAAAGTTACCCAGTTTGTTAACATACCACCTAACCAACGGTGATTTACATAATATGAGTCACAACGTTTTGCTTCCTGAGCAATTAAGCTACTTGCTTGACGTTTTGTTCCAATGAATAAGAAAACTTTATCTTTACTCGCTTCTGATTTTACGTATGCGTTTGCTTCTTTTAATAATTGTGCCGATTGTACTAAATCTAAAATATGAATATTATTTCGTTCAGTATAAATATATGGGAACATTTTCGGATTCCAGCGATAAGCTTTGTGACCAAAATGAACACCTGCATCTAATAATTGGGCTAAAGTTAAATCAGCCATAAATTTTTTAACTCCTTAAAAAATAGAATAGGTAAATATTTGTTTATAACAGTACCAAAAAAGAAATAAAAGCGTCCAGTTTTATTTTTAAACTTTTTCAAATACTGAAACTTGTTTAATATATTTTGTTCTTTCTTCAGATTCTTTTACAAAACAATCTTGATAATTTTGCGAACCTGTTCCAGCTGGAATTAAATGCCCAATAATAATATTTTCTTTTAAACCTCGTAACCAATCAACCCGACCTTCAATTGCAGCTTTTGTTAATACCCGCGTTGTTTCTTGGAAACTAGCTGCAGAAATAAAACTCGGATTATTTAAAGCAGCTTTAGTAATACCTAATAATAACGGTACATAAAATGCAGTTTGTTTATTATTACGCGAAACAATATCATTAATATATTGAATATGGTATAAATCAATAACTTCACGTGGTAATAACGGAGTATCACCTTCATGTGTAATTAAAACTTTTGTAGTCATTTGTTTTATAATAACTTCCAAATGTTTATCAGCAATTCCTACACCTTGTGATTCGTATACTGATTGAACAGAATTTAAAATCAATGACTGAACTTTTTTGAAACTTCGATAACTTGCTTCATAATTATTCGCTAAACGATATGAAGTGACGTTTTCTGTGCGATCACAGAAAAACGTTTTAATTAAACCATAATAATTAAAATATACTTTTAATAAAGCATGTGGGTTAAATTTTTCCGTTTCTTTAATAGTCGTACCTAATTTTCTAAATTCAAAATTTGAATCAAGACTAGTTTTTTGAACTAGAAGACCTCTTTTCTGATTTGTTGAAACATTTTTACTAATTTGACGTTTTTTTCGAGCTTCTAACAATTCTTCAATTCGTGGTAAACCTTGAACAATATCACCAGTAATTTCTTTTTCAAAATTTAATAACCCTAAAGTTTGCCCATCAGCAACAAATTCACCATTTTTACAGAAAACACTATTACTATCTTGTTCAAAATAATCCTCCGTTAAGGAATGAATTCCAATTGATTTTGAAAATGGATATCCATAAAATTGAACTCGAATTAAACTAGGTTGATCATTTGATTTTGTCGAACGGTCAACTAAATCAGAATTTTTAAAGAAAACGGAATAATGAACTCTTCGTTTTTTTAACCATGACGTTTCTTTTTTTGTAACAACATCTGATAAAATTGACTCCTCAGTTTGTGTTGGGGTTAATGCAAAATTTTTAACAAATAATGGAATTGGTGAACTATATAAATTCCCATCTTTTTTAATAAACATTTTTGGCAATTCAATTTTTGAACCGTTTGAAAACTCATTGTCAATTGAAGTATCCAACTTTTGTGTTAAAACCTTTTTAGTAATATCGTAATAATTTAATTGAATTTGACGATTAGTCGTTTTAGTATTTGTAAACGGTAATTGTTTCTCTGAAAGAACTTTATAAGTTAGCGAATTTTCGGACAAATTATCTTGTGTTTGACAATTTGGGAAGAAATAAGGGCGACCTTTTTGGATTGTTAAAAATTGACCATTATCAATAAGAATTTTACCGATTTGATTAACATTGACCCCTTTGATAATTAAATCATTTACGGACTTATTTGGAAGTTTTGATTTTGGAAGTGTTAAACAATCATCATTTGAAATCAATAAAACTTGACGAGTCTGTTTATATTTAGATTTTAATTTAACAATTTCCAATGACTTTTCACTAGTATTTTCAAAATAACCTAAAGTTGTATAACTATCAATAAATTGCCCCGGTTGAACTAATAAACATGATTCAATACCAGTATATTTTAAATGGGCTGGCAAATAATTTGGTAAATGAATAGTTTCAATAAGATTAAATTTTACCAAATTTTTGATTTTATCAATATTGAATTTAATTGTTATTTTATTCTGTGGAGAATTTTTTAAGTTTAAATCAAAAATTGTTGAAACTAAATTTAAAGATTCTGCTGTTTTAACTTTTTGATTAGATTTATATAAATAATGTGTACTACTATTTAAACCTAAAACATCCACTAAAGAATTTGAGTTTTTCCAAATATTTTGAATTAACTTCGGTTTTGGAATTTCATAAATATCTAATGGTCGAATCAATAATTGATCATTTGTTTTTCCCACAATATGTTGACATAAAGAGGGACCCACAATTTGAATATTTTCAAAAATCATTTCACCTGGATAAAAGACTTTATTTGCAAAGTTTTTAAAGTTTTTTCCTTGGTAAACTAAACCAGATTTAATTGAAATTTCGGAAACTAAATTATTTTTATAATTAATAATTACAATACCAGATTTTTTTGAAAATAATCCTGGTATAATTTCAAAATTATCCGAAATAAAACTTCCATGTTCAACTAATAATAAGTTTTTATCACAATTTAATTTGTATGTTTCTTCGGGTAACCAAACTAAAGCGCGAGAATAAATTTGTAATGGAGTTTTATTTAAACTCAAAGGTAAAAATTTTAAATTATTTCCTCCCGTTGTTTGTCCATCAATCAATTGATTTTGATAATAAGAAACTAATTTCGTACTTGGTAATATTTTTTGTTTTACACGTTGATCATAATACGGAATACCACCAATTTGAGTTGTATATTTATTAGTAATTAAATTACCAAAATATGTAGGTGCAACAGTATTAAGTTCTAATGTGCCATTTTTCGAAATTAGATTCACAAAATAACTTTGATCGGTTGATTGATAAATATATTTATTTAAATCAATAGTTTTAATTGTTGAATTTTTTAAAATAGACTGCGTCGTACTAATTTCTAAAATTCGTTCAAAAATCTGTGATTTATCATTTGCTACATTAACAAAACCAGGGTATTGATTAATGAATTTTGTTCGGAAAATAAAACTTTCTTTATTAATTTTATGATCCGTATAATAATTTAAAAAAGAATTTGTTGGCGCTTGATATACCTGCCCAGATAAAATCCATAATAACTTGTTTTTATTAATAAAGTTACGTTTTTTCTTTAATCTCGGAATAAACACTTCACCTGAAGAAGTACTTAATATTGGTTTAATTTCTGTTCGTGTTTGTGCTGCGGTATTTGATAATTCCCCAAGAATTGTTCCTTTTTTAACATATTGATTATTTTTTGCAAATAACATAGTGTTTGGAAGTACTTCCAATTGAACTAACTCCTGGTTTTTATTTTCCGGAACAATAACCAACGAACCTGAGTTTTTCGTAAGTAAAACGTCTTCACCCCGATTTGTTCGTAAAGTTAAGGTTTTTAATAATTTTGAAAATTTAATAATTCCATTTACTGAACTGATTACCTGTTGACGGGCTTCCGAAGTAAAAATCCCCCCTGTATGGAACGTACGCATAGTTAATTGTGTTCCTGGCTCACCAATTGATTGACCTGCAATAATTCCTACAGCTTCACCAATATCTACAAGATTTTCATTTGCTAAATCCCACCCATAACATTTTTGACAAATGGAACGATATAAACTACATGTCAATGGTGATCTAATATAAACCGGTGAAGTTTCTATAGTTTGAAACGTTTTGATTAAGTTTGGGGTAAGCTGTGTATCTTTTTGTGCTAATAATT